ACATGTGCTAAACCATGGACTTACAGCTTAGCCCTTTTTCATGCAACAACTCCATGAATAGTACTATTTTAGTCCCATTTCACAGAAGGGAAAAAAAGAAATTCAAAGAATAGAACTTGCTAATGGATAAACAGCTAATCATAAGGGACTGCATTGGAAATCAACTCCAAATAATGACCTTACTGTTAGGTTTAAACACTCTTTCAATCACTGTTCTAGGTGCTTACAATGAAGCCTGGGAAGACACATACAATCCACAGGCAAAACTGGTTAATGATATAATAAAGATGCAAAGAAAGTACTCTAAAAGTACAGGAGAGATGGTCATTGTCCACTAGAGGTTTTCTTACTAAGAGCAAAGTCAAAACAGCTTGATGCCTATTGAAGTAGTAAAAAAGTATCTAATACTTAAACTGTTGAAAACAGGAGAAGTGGCATTCAGTTTCATTTCCATTTAAAACCTGTCAGACTTTATGAGTAAAACAAGATCTCACATCTTGTAATCTTTCAAAGCAAGAACGGGGAAGTTCTCTGCAAACATGCAAAGGGAGGACTTAACAAAAACAGGACCATCCTAAGAGAAGGCACAAAGTACCAGAAGGAATAAAAGAATTTTTCAAGGAGAACTGCAAGAGGAAGATGCCATATACTCTACTTTGAGTAGAATGCAATTAAGGGATATTTTAGTCTTCACATAACATCTACTATTAATGTTTGCTATTTTCCAATCAAAGAAAAGTCAAAATCTAAAGAGGTTAAAAACAAAACTCAGGCTGGGCACAGTGGCTCACGTCTGTAATTCCAACACTTTGGAGGGCTGAGGTAGGTGGATCACCTGAGGTCAGGAGCTCGAGACCAGTCTGACCAACTTGGAGAAACCCCGTCTCTACTACAAAATACAAAATTAGCCAGGCACAGTGGCTTATACCTTAAATCCCAGCACTTTGGGAGGCTGAGGCAGGCAGATCACTCGAGGTCGGGAGTTCGAGACCAGCCTGACCAACACGGAGAAACCCTGTCTTTACTAAAAATACAAAATTAGCCAGGTGTGG